ATTATCGCTTTCTCAAAATCACATAAAGTCATATTATAACATCGACTGAGATAAAAAATAAAATAAAATATTAAAAATACGATATATCTCGCTGCATTGTACGAATACTTTTCTATTCTAAATAAAGCATCATGTAAAAAAAATTAAGATAAAAAATATAAGAAACTCTTAATCACCTTTAATTTTAAATCACGATACATCTTATCCTAACATGTAATGTGATATGATTGAATGTGTGGTGCAGGGACCCAGATTTGATTGAAAGGATAGGCGCTGCTACTGCTCTTGAAACAAGGGCCAGTGGCGTTCAATATGCCTTTGCTCCCTGCCTTGCTGTAAGTTCATTTCTACTTGTTTTTTTTTTAATTTTTTTAATAAATATATACAATATATTTTAGGGAAATTATTTACATTTTAGTCCCTGTAGTTTATTAAACATTTCTATCTTCGTCCCTATGATTTCAAAATTACGTTTATCACCCCTGTGGTTTACATTCTATTTCTTATTTTGTCCTTTGATTAACAGCATTAACGGAAATATCTCTTACATGCCTACACGGTACTCCCCAATTACACTTGTAATTTTATTTTACAAATTCCCTTTTAAATAGTGACATTTATTTTTATTTTATTAAAAAATATTAATCAGTTAATTTAAATTAAAAAAAAGAATTAATACACTATTACATTTATAAAGACTTTATTACATAATATAGTTAATTTTATTATTATTATTATTATAGAATATTAATTTTAATATTATATTGTTGATGATTATCTTGGGTGCATGAACATTTCAATATGTTAATGTATTATTATATTACTAATTTATAATTTTTTTTCATAAACTTGTTTATGTTTTTGGCATCTTAAAAAGTCAGATGTTCAAATATCACCAAAGATGAGAAGGATATGTGAGTTTATTTGTCGTATATAAATATTATATACTTCAAAAAAAATTAAGTTCTATAACCAAATATCAATTGATTAGTTAATTTATTGATATATACATTTTAGAGTAATTGATAAAACTAACGTATGCTGTAAACAATCATATGGATATAAAAATGGAAGTATTCTTTACAAATGTCTTAATAATATAAGTTGGTCGGTTCACATTGAAAATGTTGCATGTAATTATATAATAATAAATTAATTAATTAAGGGTCTGTTTAGTTTGATAGATTATTTTTGAGGGATCTGGATTTTATGAAGGGATTTAGAATCGGAAAGATTTGGAATTTTTGATGTGTTTAATTTATATGTCTCAACTGAAATGACTATTTTAATTAATTTTCTTTTATTATAATCTTATTCTTTTTGTAAACGATAAAAATAGAATCCTTAAGTTTTTAGAAACCCGTATACATTTCCCAAATGAACGTATATGGGTACCTTTCATAAACGAAAATATCAAATTTTGGAAACCCGCACATTTATTGAACCGATGTTGATAGGTATGCAAAGATCCAAGATGGGGAAGATACTACGAAAGTTATGGTGAAGACACCGAGTTAGTTCGAAAGATGACTACATTGGTCACAGGCTTGCAAGGAAAGCCTCCCAAAGGCCATCAAAACGGATACCCTTATGTAGCTGGAAGGTAAACATTCAGATTATTTATTCAGCAAAACAGATAAACAACGATTTAGCTGAATCTATATAGACAGTTTAATCCAAACATAGTTTAATGGAAAAAAAAAACCAACGACTAAAGAACCCCTTAGTCATGTTATAACGCTATTCTATCATTCTATCCCCCGTCATTCGGAGAGAAAAAAACGGAGAAAAGATAGATACAATTTGAAGATAGGATGATGACGACATAATTTCCCGACTTTGACATCGTTGTTCTATTGTGACCATTACTAAAAAATTTGGGTTATTTACGAGTTAATGACATATCTATACTATATGATAAAGCATTTGACAAAAACTCTTAAAACACCATTCTTTATGCATGAAGTAATGTGTATTAATGCATATTACTTAATATTTAAAATTACAAGTAAATTATGTGTAAATACAACTTATTAAAGCTCCATTTGTAAATTCGTATAACTAAATACAGATAAACATAATCAAATACAGAATAAACATCTCATTTTTATATAAAAAATCTAAAAATATAATTAGGATAATAATTGAGTTCTAACATAATCATTATCTTTATAAAATGTTATTGTTAGGTCAAAAATAAATTAATTCATTAAATAGTAAAAATATTATCTTTCTCAAAACCACATAAATCGTATTATATCAACAAAGACAAAAAATAAAATGAAACATTAAAGTGAAGATATATCTCGCTGCATTGTGCGAGTACTCTTCTAGTGTTTTTTTAAATACATCACCTTCTCATAAATTTTAAGATATTTTTGTGTTAGGAATACACATTTTTTTGTTAGACAGAGATGATTTTTTAGAGTACTATAAAAAATATGTCAAAAAATTATTCTCCTAACTAACGCTTAAAGCTTTACCACAGTGATAGACCTAGAAACCAAAGATTTTCTCGAAACACTTCTATTTCTTAACATTCTTAGTGGCACAAGAATAGGGTGTGTTTGTTAGCAGCTTAATAAGCTTAGTGAGACTCACAGCTTATTTGGTCAGTTATATATAATTGTTTAATAATGACTTAATTATATAGAAAGTGCATTATTAGTAAGCTTTTAAGGGGAACCTTATGCAGAAAACCAATTTTTTTCCATACAAGCCCCTGCTAATTAAAACAACACGTTCATTTCATCTATGAAAAAACTCTTCCAAACAAAAATCTTCTCGATCTATAAAGAGATACTTATCGACATGTACAACTTTATCCATACATGACTTAATGAAAAACCAACCAAACAACCCTTAAAGTAAGACCAGATTTCTGCTTTCTTGCCAAATAGCTTTGCATTCACTCGTTATTAGAGAGTGTAGAAATATCTGGAACCCTAAATTTACTTTTCAAAAAAGGCTTTTAGAGCAGATATCCTAACGTTCACTACAAAACACTTTTACGACGGAAAAATCCATCGGCAAAAGTCTGTTGGAGAGGATATGGTGGGTAAAACTATTGGGATTTGAATTGGATTACTAAACTTTAGTTTACAGTACTTGCATCCTTCTTCTAATCTTTTTTTCTAAATTTAGAAAAATTAGAAAACAAACCTAATCACCGACGGCAGGTTTCCTGATGAATCTGTCGATGATCCATTAGTAATCACCGGCCGTCGGTAATTCTCACGAGTGAAAGTCAGATTTCTAGTAGTATTACAACCTCTAAACCCGAAATGAAAATCCCATTTTAGGCATATATCCTACTTTATATTAAACCACAACTATTTAGAGCATATATCTAAAATATAATGAGGATAATCATTGAGTTCTAACACTTTATATTTGATACCAGAAAGAATGTCATGGCCTGTGCCAAGCATTTTGTTGGAGATGGAGGTACTGATAAAGGTAAAAATGAAGGGAATACCATCATCTCGTATCAGGATTTGGAGAACATCCATATGTTACCATATCGAGACTGTATTTCGAAGGGTGTTAGCACGGTTATGGCGTCGTACTCGAGTTGGAACGGAACCAAACTGCACTCCCATCGTTTTCTCCTAACCGATATCCTCAAACACGAGATGGGATTTCAGGTAATTTTTGAAAAATTGCTTCCATTTTTTCTCCTACCGGAGTATATGGAATCCGTTCATATTACTCTCCAAAAAAGCACTTTTAGAAAATAAGATATATTCCAAAGGTAATTTACTTATTTAGAAGTAGTGGTGGACTCATGATTTTTGTCGTGTGAGTGCACCTTTAAGCTGCATTAAACACCTGTAATTTCGTCTGACGTGTTTTTAGCTGAATTTCACTGTTATGTGGGATTTTTCAAGTTTTTTGATTGGTTTCGAGGGACTTTGTTTGGTTTTTTGGTTGATGTCCCTTGTAGGACAATCTCATATCTCGAGTAGAAATGGTCCAATTCTAGCCATTGTGAGACTCTACGTTCCAAATGGCGTCGTTTTCTTCTTGTATGTGTATCGAATGTCTACGATAAGGTAACAAACGCAATTTTTCAACAGGGTATCGTGATTTCTGATTGGGAAGGAATCGACCGGTTGTCCAATCCTCGTGGATCAAACTACCGAAATGCCGTTTCTTGTGCGATTAATGCCGGAATCGATATGGTACGAGTAAACTATAGCTCCTGAAATCGAAATTTATTGTGGTTGCATTTCTGGTTTTACTAATATGGAACTTGCAGGTGATGGTTCCTACCAGATATGAACTGTTCCTGGAAGATTTAGCATTTTTGGTTGAATCTGGAGAGGTTCCGATGTCAAGAATCGATGATGCGGTTGAACGGATCCTGAGAGTCAAATTTGCCGCCGGACTCTTTGAATATCCCATGACGGATAGGTCTTTGCTAGATGTCGTTGGCTGCAAGGTAAACTTACATCTAGTTTATCGGCTAACAGCTAGTTTAACAACTAGTTTATCGGCTAACAACTAGTTTATCGGCTAACAGCTAGTTTTTCAGCCAACCACTCGCATATTAGCTGAGCTAGTTTAACAACTAGTTTATCAGCTAACCGCTAGTTTTTTAGTCAACCACTCGTTTATTAGCTGACAGCTGGTTTATCGGCTAGTTTGGCTTGAACATGTCTTAATATTGTTGTTCCAGCAACATAGAGAATTAGCACGTGAAGCAGTCCGGAAGTCGTTGGTTCTACTGAAAAACGGGAAGGATCCAAGGAAACCGTTTTTACCATTGGATAGAAACGCGAAAAGGGTTCTTGTTGCCGGAAAACACGCAGATGATTTAGGTTATCAATGTGGAGGTTGGTCGGTTTCATGGCAAGGAAGCAGCGGAAGAATCACAATCGGTAAGTGGTCATTTGACACTAACGAACCGTTTTTCAAACGCTTACCGGGTGTCACTTATCTTATCGGATGAGCATGACAAGGACCGAGAATCTTACTTGGTCGGTGAGAGAGAAAACTCTTATCTCGTAAGCGCTCACCGGGTACAAGACGCTTAAAACAATCCATTTTAATGGCCGAGAATGTTACCTGATAAGATAAGTAAGGGTGATGACTCTTATCGATAAGCATTTGCCAAAAGCCTCTTAATATACTACAGGCATCATAAATCTTCATATCATTCAGATGTTTACTAACATCTTACCACCGCTTATGACTTATTGGTAATAAGCTCTTACTCGGTCACGAGGTGGAGATCTTTACCAAAAACAAAATATAGTTCGGAGCCCGGAGAGGGGTATAATGGTCTTTTTCACTCAATTAACGCTTAAAACACAACAATTTTCCGTCAAAACTAATCCGGTCTATTTTCTCTTATTCCAATCAAACTTCTTACTCTGGTTAGCACTTACCACTAAATTTTGGTACACGTGTTTAGGAACAACGATTCTTGATGCCGTTAGAGAAGCAATCGGTGACGATGTTGAAGTGGTATACGAAGAAAATCCAACACCCAAAACCCTTTCTCTACAAGATTTCTCATATGCGATAGTAGTCGTCGGTGAAGCTCCATATTCAGAATCGCGTGGCGATAACCCCGAACTCACCATTCCGTTTGAAGGCGACGAATTACTTAAGCTGGTTGCATCCCAAATCCCGACTCTAGCCATTCTGATCTCTGGTAGACCGTTGGTTTTAGAACCATCACTCCTAGAAAGATTGGATGCATTAGTTGCTGCTTGGTTGCCGGGCACCGAAGGAAACGGTATAACGGATGTTATTTTTGGCGATTACGAGTTCCGTGGACAGCTTCCAGTTTCATGGTTCAGATCGGTTGATCAATTGCCGATGGATGCTCATGAAAAGTCATACGATCCCCTATTCCCACTCGGATACGGTCTAAAATCTAGAGTTCGACCTTCGTTTGTTCAAACATTATCTCCACCCTCGGATCGATTCAACGAGTTGAGCATGTAATATGTAACACCCTCGGTTCGGTCACATTGGTCTTATAGTCGTTAGAAAAAGCATTCAGCTTTCGTCGGGTTCGAATGCTTAAATACGGTCTCTTTTGGAAGGAAAATAATCAAACAATCCAAAGATAATAATTGTATTCTTTTGTAAAATTGTTTGAAATCTCAACTCAATCCATAATAATTGTTGATAAGCAACCGTTTATTAAACGTTTACCCAGTAAGTACTTATCGGACAATTTTTCTTACTGGATGAAAATGGCAATAGCCAAGAATCTTACCCGGCAAAAGCGATGATAAGGATGGAGAGTCTTACCCGGTAAGTGAGGTTGACGACTCTTACTCGGGTAAGCGCTTACCAGGTAAATTGTTGCATAGGATACGTTTTGATATACTACAATCTTATCTGATAAAATAAATTATAGTGTTGACTTTTACTGTAAGCACTTATCGGGTAAGCATTTGGGTAAACGACTCCTAAATTAAGGTTTTTGTTTATGTGGTTTGTTAAACAAATTGGGAATTTCGTGTTCGTGTTTTTAGAAATTCAATTTATTTTTTTGTGGTTTACAATTTATTGTTGGAATTGACGAGTGTGTATTGTTCCCTTAAAAAAGTAAATTACTTTGCTGACAGTTACTAATTTCGTCGGCATGAATTGTTACCATGAATATTTCTTAATTTCACTAGGTCAATCATTCAATCATTCATAGTTAAATATAATAGATGAAAATAATAATAAATTATAAATCATTTAAATAAAAAATATTATTTATATTATATTATAAAGTATTTAAAAAAAACTCTTAAATACCATTTTTTTTATGTACGAAATATTATTTATTCATGTATATCACTTAAAATTCAAGATTTCAAGTAAATTTTGTTTAAATACAACTTATTAAAGCTTTTTGTTTAAATTCGTGTAACTAACTGTATATGAACATAATCAAATATATGATAAACATCTCATTTTAAATATAAAATATTTAAAATATAATTAGGATAATATTGAATTTTAACAGAATACTTAAATATTATCTTTATAAATAATTATATTATTAAACCTAAATTAAATTATAATCAAAATTATGAATTAAAGAATTTATATAAAACAATAACTTTTAAATAGTTAATTTAATACTAATACCCATATATAATTTTTAAAATTTTATGATATTTTATATTTTATATTTTATTCAAAAATAAAAACATTATTGTTTTCTCAAAGCCACATAAAACCGTATTATATCGACATAAATAAAAATAATACGAGACATTGAAATCGAGATATATCTCGATTCATTACACGAGTACTTTTCTAGTAAATTACAAAAATAAAAAACCATAATTTTAAAAACACAAAACAAGAATATCAATTTTCAACCACGTGAACTACCGACCTTGAAAAAAACTATGAAGTTCAAAAGATTGTTACTTCTCATGGCTAAAAATCGGTCCCAAGTCAGTCCTTAACTGTCCGGGGCTTCAACAGTGTCGGTTATAACCGGTTTCGGTCGAAATTGCTAAGCCTGGTTAAGCATTCCTATAACCGGTCATGGTTAGCCGGTTCCGGTCTTGGTCCCAACCAATCCCGAGCAAAAAAAATATTGTTTTTACGATATATTTTTTAATACATTATAAAATTTGTAATTGGGTCACTCAAATACACTTTAAAAATACGAGTCGCAGTCACAAAATATGAGAAACCGAGAATTTTGAATTTTTTTTGTGTTTTTTGCTTTTGTAAGTTGGTATGTAAATCATTTAACCATGACACTTACATAGGGTTTAGAAGGCAAAAAAGACCAAAAAAACGGTCGTATAACGACTATATTTGGAAAGAAAAAAACGGCTAATTTTTTAAAAACTGGGTCGGGCCAGGCCCATAACCGGTCTCAGTCCCTCGAACCCTTCCAAAACTATAACCGACGATCAACGGTCCTTACTGGTGCCTGGCCGGGCCTGTTTGGTCCAATATTATTTTATACACGAATTTCAAATTTAGCAATTTTCATTTGATCATGCAAATCAAACAAAATTCATGATTTATTTGTTTCATAATGGTTTGAAGTTATTACAGGTGAACTTTTATAGTCATATAGGTTTTAACAGCGTTTAGATTCAAACATCGGAAAGATGATATTTTCATTATATCTTGTTAAACCTTAATCAGTTAACCACAACTTAAATGAGATTGTTTCAACATTTTAGGTACAATTTTGATTTTCGATATTACCCTTACAAAATCCAACATATGGTTAAAAAAGAGGTTAACCACAAGAGTGGTGCCTGATTGGTTTGAGCTTGGCTCCAAAGGTCAAAAGTACTAGAAGATCTCAGGTTCAAATCCAAGGGGGAATAAAAATCCCCTTATGGCCATGGAGGTTCAAATGCAGTGACTCCGGTATCTGCAATGCAAGTGATCGTCCTAGGATTAGTCAGCTCACATAATGGATTGGATATCCAGGTTAATAATAAAAAAAAATTAAAAATTGTTGCAGAATAGACCAAGGCTATGATCAAAACAAAACAAATAGAGTAAAAGGTGCACAATACCATTTTTTACATTAAACAAAATATTACAAGTATGTACGGTTTCATATCAAAATTGTTAATCTATACTATATAATAAAAACATTTGACAAAATTCTTAAAAACCATTTTTTATGCATGAAATATTGTTTATTGATGCATGTYACTTAAAATTCAATATTACAAGTAAATTGTACGTAAGTACAACTCATTAAAACTCTATTTTTGAATTCGTATAACTGCAGATAAACATAATTAAATACAAGATAAAACATCTCATTTTAAATATAAAAAATTAAAATATAATCAAGATAATCATTGAATTCTAACAGATCCTTACGAAAATTATATTATTAAACAAAAAAAAAATGTTACTTTGTTATTAAACCTAAATTAAGTTATAATTAAAAAATTGAATTAAAGAAATCACACAGAAAACGAGAACTTTTTAAATAGTTTATTTAATACTAATATCGATATTTTTTTTCAAATTTATATTTCATTCAAAAATAAAAATATTATTGTTTTTCAAAACCACATAAAACCGTAATATATTGACAAAGAAAATGAATAAAATGAAATACTAGAATCGAGATTTATCTCAATGCATTGTGCGAATATCCTTCTAATATCTCTACTACATTAATAAGCATTTAAACCAAAGTCTTAAATACAATTTTTAATGCATTGAATACAAGCTTTTAAAGCACAAAATAAAAAATCTCTTAATTACAAGGTTATATGCATGATGTATAACTTATTAATATATTGATTTTTACCCACAACCAAAAATGGAGTCCTAGACTCCCTTTTCTCATTTGGTATAAGCTTTATTTTCTCTCCTCCCTATAAAACTCTTTTCTTTTCTTCAACATCCATTTTTACTCATAAATATCCACTGAAACACAATATACAAGTATTGTATGCATGTTTTGAATTCTTTAAAAGCTTTTGACTTTTTTTGTCTTCATAAGAGACTAAATTTCTGGTTGCTTTCACCTTTTTGGTCTAACTCTGTCGATGCTCTGCCCCCAATACCATTTACCTTCCTCTTTTACTTTTTGCTTGAATTTCAAAATTCAAATGGAAGAACTAGCTTGTCATTATTTTATAGTCTTCTAGTAATTCTTGTCCCATTTCAATTTTACTTATCTCAATGCATTACACGGATACACTGCTAATAATATAATATAAATAAATAATGTTACATCAAATTTTAATTCTAACTCTTCACAATATCAAAATTATACAACATATAATATGCTATTTTAAAAGAATTAATATAAAAAATGGGTTTAATTTAAAATTAAAAAAAAAAGTGCTCCCAAAACTCCAAATCTTGGTTGAAATTGATGGTGGCATGGCAACCTTTTGTCCTCTTTTTTGGCCCATTTTCCTTTTTTCAAAAGATACCCAAATCATATTTTGGATTTCTTCATTGTTTCATTGTCCATTTCACAATAATTCCCATCCTTTCCACTCTCTTATATTATTTTTCCTTTTCCTCTTTTGTAACAATCAAAATGCTACTTATTTTACAAATAGAAAAATAGGTTCGTTTTGTCATTTACTGATAAAGAAAAAGTAACGGTAATAATAATATACAAGAACTTTGGACTGGTTTCGTTTGTCCTTTAACTAGTCTTGATTCGTATAGATAGGTAAAAATCAGGGTTGACCGACAAAACTCATGTCTGACTGCTCCTTTAAACGATCCTCACGGATCATAAAGAAAATAAATTATGTAAAACTGCCTTCATCTTATCCTTACGAAGGACAAAAAGAACAGTAGCATTAGTTGTCGTCATACTTAGACATTATATGTTAAACAACAGTTATCCAGATAAAAATACACAAAAAAAAAGAAGATAATAGCAGGCAAGAATGCAAGAATGCAAGAAATACCCGTTGTAGTTTATAACAATGCCCTCATCTTATCCTTACGAAATACAAAAAGAACAGTAGCATTAAATATCGTCATACTTAGACATTATATGTTAAACAACAGTTATCCAGATAAAAATACACGGAAAAAAAGATAATAACAGACAAGAATGCAAGAAATACCCGTTGTAGTTTATAACAATGTGCATGACAACCACAGGTGAAAATTCATAGCATTATTCAACAAAACAATTCTTTTTTACATTTTGATGTAAATTTTTTTGAGTAACCGTGGATTTTCAGGCCAACTTATACACTGGATGACCACGAATGGTCTGGAGTCATCGCAATTGAACCTCCATGACCACAAGGACATTGTCAACGCCTAGATTCAAACCCAGAAATGAAACTTTTTACTATATCCCCCTTGATACTTAACCAGTACGTCACAACTCAAATAACTGTACTGATGCAAACTTATTGTAACCAAAAAGGTTTTTGGCACTAAAATGGCACACCATGCCATGGAGAATACTCCCCACACCACACAAGAGATCAAATGTAGATCTCAATGGCCCACAATGAACACATTATAAAATCTTTTTAAAACACCAAGTAACCCCACCACCCTACCCAAAGTATATTCCATTTTCTTAGCTCTCCACATCATTCTACCAAAGAGTCACAATTTTAGCCATCAATAGTTGGGGGAATTTATATAAACAACTACACTTGCCTAAAGTGCAAGACTTGTGGTCACATTTCACTCCCTTTATCTTTTCAAAGAAACTATAACCCTTTTTTTATAATTCTAACACAGATATAATTATTACAAACCATTCGAGTTTTAGCAAAAGCAGCTCTTTTAGGTTGGATCGATTGGTTGACAAGTATGAAAGAAAACGTTGTTCTTGTGAACCTGTGTTTGATAACATGGGTATGCTTTAATGTTACAGATTTTTTATGTTCATTTTTCTGTACCAAAGACTATGAAAATAAAGTTTGAGATATGCACGTACATACTTATTGTTACATGTAAGTCCACTCGTCGATACCCAGAAACATGATTCGAACATTTAACTAATAGTCAGGTTAGTATGCTAAACATTTTAGCTGAAAATTGTTGTAATTTTTATGATATAATATAGGGTATAATTTAACCAGTAATCTTGGTGGGTATCTTTGTGTGTGGGGTGATCAGATATTGGAATAAAGTTGGTAAAGATACCTTTTTTTTTTATTTTCTCACTCTTGCAAGTTGCTAGGAAATGCTACTTATTTTACAATAGAAAAGAGGGTTAGTTTTGTCATTTACTATTGAAGAAAAGGTAACGATAATAATAATACAAGAACATATGCATCATGAACCTTTAGACTGGTCCGATTTATCCTTTAATTGATTTCAATCTGTATAGGTAGGTAAAAATAAGGTCGGTTGACGAAAATCAGGTCTGATTGGTTCTTTAAAACGATCCCAATCAAACTCGATCTTTAATGGTGCTTTTAACACCATTGATAACCGATTCCTTAGCTAGTTCAACTTTATAAAAATAGTAGCCAATGATAAGTCTTTTAATAACTAGTCATGGGCCACTTGTAACCGATCCTAGGCTTCAGGCCCACTTACCGACTTCTACGATAGGGTATGCACAAGTTTCTGTTTTCACCATATCCCTAAATTTTCCGTGAATCTAAATCAACAACTCTGTTTCAATAGATAGTCGAGATTATGGCAAATTGTATAAAAAAGTAACGCACTTTAACTTGATTCATATTTTGGATAACGTACTTTTGGGAAATTGCACCAAAATGGAACCAACTTTCATCTTATTCCTATTTTGGGGAATTAACTTTCAAAATCGTCATTTTGGGGAACCAACTTGCACCTGATTCCTATTTTGGGGAACCAACTTTCAAAATCGTCATTTTGGGGAACCAACTTGCACCTGATTCCTATTTTGGGGAACCAACTTGCAAAATAATTATAGAAAAATAACTAAAATTCTTTTTTTTTCAAAAATTAATACAATAAAATCTATTTTCATTTCAAATCTCTTTTTTTTTTAATTCAGATATCAAATTGATGATTTTTTCAAAAAAAATCCAAATTATCACAATAAAAATTGTTTTTTTACTAAGGCAATAAAAAAATCAATTTAATAAAAAAAAATTAATTAATGCAATAAAAATAAATATTAAATATCAGATTCAAGATTTTTATATCTAACCAATCTGTATAAATATTAAAGTTTAAATCAAATTTGGCTTGGCAAATCAAACCAAAGGTTTGATAGAGACCCTTAAATTACTTGTTACATGTTCAACAGATCAACTAGACCCTTAAATGAACAAAAAGTTTGATAGAGACCCCTAAATGACAATTTTAAAAGTTGGTTCCCCAAAATAAGAATCAGGTGAAAGTTGGTTCCATTTTGGTACAAATTTCCCTACCTAAAATGTAAAACTTTAAACATTTAAGTAACCGGTAAAATATTAATTGGTTACCATGTTGATGTGGCGAGTGATGTGGTATCCAACTCAATATTATATGCTGACATGGATATCTTAATCTAAAATTAGTTTTTATGTATTGTGGTTCATTAGAAGAAAGAGTTAATGCTTCAATCGGGTTAGTCGGGTACTTAAATGTTTAAAACTTTACATCTTAGGTACCAAAATGTAAGTTTTGAAAGTATATTACCCAAAATATGAATTTAAAGTACGTTATTTTTTTCATTTAATTTACCCTCGAGATTATTTCAAATAAAATTGAACATCACGTACATGCGTATTCTACTGGTTATATTATATTTATCATCAAACTTATTATAATTTCTTTTTTACAGAAAAACCTACGAGTAAATGAAGTGTTCTCGTGCTCATTTTCTTTTTTTTTCATAGAAAGTTGTACATTTGGTGACAATTTTGACGTTGAGAAGTCAATCGAGTGAAAGTTTTATGTAGATTTAAAACCTAAATCATGGATGTTAATACTTGAGATCTGTTCAAATAATTGGGACTTCTATAAAAGGTCAAGTGCAAAGATACATAAAGGTTCATGAGATTCTCGATATCAAGTATAATGCGTTGGAATTCGTTTACTGAAGACAGGTAACCTATTTAAAGTCATATATTCCGTTCATTTCACATATTTATTTGGTGGACATACCCTCTAACGGGAATTCTAAAATATACACGACAGCGATAACAGATATTTTGTAGGAACTGGTCGTTATTGCAGATGAAAGAAGGTTAGAGTATTGAGAAATAGGCTGGTAGTATCCTATTTCTCGAGACCGTTCAAAATTTTGCAAGTTGGAGTCTTCACATAAACAGTTTCTCTAATCCTAACGGTCAGTAGATGAATAATCAGTATAAATCCTACCACATGTCATGTTTTCGAGTAAGTTCTGGATTCGTTTAGTTTGTTTTACGGATTCATTCTTATATTACAGATACAGAAATACCATAATATAAAAAATGTATCAAAACACAAGAAAACCGTTTGCTTTGGTTGGGATTGGTAGGCCAACGTCACAATCACATGATGATTACACGACTAATTATCCCATAAAACTACAATAACAATCTCTCCAGAAATCCACAACCAAACAAGAGCACACAGATTAGTACAACTGTGTTCTCATAAAAATAATGCGAAGAGAAATCAATATGTGCAACTCCAAAAACAGTATAGATTCCATACAGACAACTTAATTCATACAGACAAATTAATCCATACAGAGCTTAATAGAAAAGAACATTAGCATCCAAGTGTTAAGTAGAACATGTCTCCTAACTAGTTGGAGAGTATTAGTAATGACAGTAGGATCTTTAAAAGTAGAAGATCCCATGGTCCTAGAGCATAAGATGCTTAATTCGAACCGGTAACTGTCTACAAGTCAACTGGATGAAGGATTGGCTTCCTGTAAAAATACCTTGATTCCACATCGAGTATGTGGAATGATACTTGGGTCGTGTTAGCAACGGTTACAGATAGATCCAACGACAACTGAACCAACACCTAGATCCGATGAGAATGAGTACCCCCATGGGCTATTCAACAACAAAAATTGGTTAAGCGCTAACCGAATAAGAGGTTGTTTCGGTAAACGATGACTGGAAATGGTCGTGTACCAAATGTGCAGATAAGCATCGACTGAGTGCTTCGCTGAATAAAAAAACAACCGCTTCTTTACTGAGTCTACATTTCGGCCAACATATTTGTAGCTTAGAGAGTGTTGGTAAACAAAGCGACATCATGCACCTCTTACCCAATAAGAGGCGGTCAAAAGGCAGTAAAGAGTCGTTAAGTCTACAAGTGAATCAAAACGCTCCTAATCGTTTGAGACTAGGACTCGGGCCATCTCAATTGTGTTCCTTTTCAAAGTTTTGAAGTGCGGAAAAGATGGAATAGCCAGGTAAACTCAACCGAGAAATTCTGGAGGCTTTTTAACGTTCTTTTAAAGAAAAATCCCGAGAAAAAAAGAACATCATGATCGAGTCTAAGAACTATAATATTCACATTGTAGATAACACCACAAGATACATACCCGGGAAAAACACCAAAGAAGAATATCTAGAAAAACTACTTAAATCAAACCGAAAAGAAAGCAACCATTTTCGAAAAATCACTACATACGTTTTCGATCAAATACGCTCATCCGTGAGGGTAATGCATCGCGGGCTGCATCTGAAAAACCATGCTTTGAGCTCCACCATAAAATTCATGTAAACCGCCGCCACCGCCGCCCATTCTAAACCCGCCATTACCTCTATATCGAGGAGAATTGAAGACGTTGGTTTGGTTGAATGCCATGGCGGCACCACCACCACCACCGTTGGGCTGATTCCATTGACATTGCTCCGGCGACGTTCTTTTGTTTTTCGGCAAAGGATTCTGGTTTTCAGTTAAGTTGACGGTGGTTATATCGTGAATGCTCGCTCGTCTCTTATCTTTCCCGCCCGAAAGCTGCCGAATAAAATATTTCTGAGCATGGCTCGCAACTTGTGTTGGTGTTCTTGTGACCACATAATTTCGCGATATATTTCTCCAATCTCCTTTCCCATATTTCTTTAGCCCCAAAAGAAACAATCTGTGATCAAATCCCCAAATACCCATTTCGAAATATAATCAGAATAATCAAGAAATCGAATCGAAATCGAAGATTTAGCAAAGAAATCTAAGAGGGTGTATAAACTTACTTATGTTCTTCTTCTGTCCAAGGAACACCCTTTTTCCTTTCTTGTTCAACAGGGCGGCCGGCGGCGACCACAGCCACCGGAAACCTCTTCCCCCCGGCGGCATATGGCGGAGATTTAGACATATCAAACCCATGATTGTTTACCCATTCTAAAGTAAAAGGAGAAGTGCTGTTATTATACCGATATTTGGGATAGAACCCTGCTTCAATATTGCTTACATCGTCTTCTAGCTCCTTATACTGCCGCATGACGTCAGCCACCGTCTTCCCGGGAACCATCTCCGCCACCCTCTGCCACCGATCAGGGGTGTCGTTATCGAACTTCGCAAGAGCATTCTCAAACAGTTTGTTCTCTGCCGGAGTCCAGATTGTGCTTTTTAAGCTATCTTCCATCACCCAACTTGATGAATTCGAGATATATGAAGATGGTGACAAGATTTCCGTTTCCCACTTCATTGAAATCGATTCTAAAACAAAACCCTAAATTCAAGATCAAATTTTCAAGGATCTTTCTTCAAGAAACAGGGAAGAAAATGTAGGAAGCCTTTATAACACAAATATGAGGGTTAAACCTGGAAGCATTTTTGAAAGGAATCAGAATAGCCTTTTTTGGTGTTTGCTATGGCCAACCACCATAAGAATCTTTAAAAGACCCGCTTTTTAGAAATCAAAGGAAAAATATGTCCCCAAAATTAGATGTATAGACATCAGAGGTAGAACAAGAAAACCCTAGAAAACACTGAATAGGATCTGAATCAGATTACTGAAAGAAGGGGATAGTTTCTAAAATTGGAAAAGTGGCAACTGTTTGCATCATGTTCATGGCATCTTGATATCTCATTTGGGAAAGGGGGGAAAAGAGCAGTTGGTAGTTGAAAGAATTGAGTACCCAAATGCCTGAAAATTTGGTATTTAAAATTACACAAACCCCTTCTCCCTCTCTCTATATCTATATCTATATATATATCTCTCTATATGTATATCTATATCTGTATCTATATGTATGTATGTATTTTTCTCTGAATTCAGAAAGATTATGTGGTGAATCCTTGGGATTTGGAGTTTTATGAGGGTGGAAAGGTTTGAAGTGGTGATTCCAACCCTTTTTTCCTTTGGGGAAAACAGAGAAAAGGATGATGAAATTGAAGCAAGAAAACCAAGAAAGTGAATCCAGAGAGAGAGAGAAGGAGAAGGTGGTGGTGGGTTGTGATTGGATGAGATGGTGTTGTGGGCACTGCAATATAAAAAGAAGTAGACAGTATTTTAATGGGCACTCTTCCCCCCTCCTTAATTGCTTTTCTTTTCTTTTTTATTTCTCTTAAAAACAAATATAAATTAATTCATTGTGTTAATTTATTTCCTTATTTGGCAAGAAATATAGGATTAGAAGCATTTGGGTGAGAGAATTCCCATTTCATATTCTCAAAAAAGCCTTAAAAACTCAAAACTAATATAATAAAAGTAATAACACAACCACAAGGGTGGTGGTTGATTGGTTTGAACTTGGCTCCAAATATCAAAAGTACCAGGAGATCCTAGATTCAAATACATGGAGAAATAAAAATCATTTTGTGGCCACGGAGGTTCAAATACGGTGACTCTGGATTATCTGCAAAGCAGGTGGTTGTTCTGAGATTAGTCGGCTCGCATAGCGGGTTGGATATCCAAGTTAATAAAGAAAAAAGTAATAACACTATTTATAAATTTTAGTTATTATTTCTCAACTACAAAATAAAATACTATAAAAATGCTATATTGGCTGTGTATAAAAATACAATTAAAATGGTATAAAAATTAAAATGCCATACAAAAATGGGAGAAGGACACAAAATTATATTCTGGTCAATGGGGCTTCAATAGAATTTATGCATACATATCCACTTTATTTTTTATGAGATAATTGAGTAGGGAATTTTCAACAATAATAATTCAACATATATATATATATATATATGGTATCTTTTGATCATTATGCTTGTTATTTCAATATTATATCACTAATCTGTGTTTAATTTATTTATGATGAACGGTCCTGTCCGAAATGGTATCAGAGCCATGATTTATGTTCATAAGGAAATAATGAGTTATGTTATTTATGTTAATGAATGCGTACTAGAGATGAATGTGTTTTATACAAAAACAATATTTTATAATAATCTTAGGATATTAGTGTTGCTTTGCCTTGGGCGTTGTAGTAGCGTAAGTCACGCAGAAGAGAGCGTAAGACGTGCAGCCGGACCAGTCCATAAGAAAGCTGATAGCCCAAAAATTRTTAGAAAAATCTTGTTTTCTTAGAAGAACGATATTCAAATCTTAGTACAAGTGAATTCATATAAATAGAATAATGGATTTATTTTCTATGAAACATACTTCTGGTGAAGAAATCWATGAAGAACAAGATCTTCATTTAAATTCATCCGAACTTCAAATTAGTGATATAGAACAGAGTTTATCAGACTGGACAATTCCAAAACAAAATGTTAAAACCATATATAAAATAGGTCATTTCGATTTTCTTCAAAGTTATTCTATTAAAAAACTGAACAAACTTTATCAATCAATAAAGATTATGAAAATATTCATCTATTATCAAAAACTGTTATAATTCAACATAGGAAAAAATATAAATATTTACATATTGGATTAGTTCAAGTAGCAATTAAGCCACTCTTTAGATTAGGCATAGATGCTCATTTCTTGTTAATCCTAAGAGATGTTAGGCATACAAACTTCAAAAATTCAATATTAGCAATAGCTGAAACTAATATCTCTAATGGTCCAATTTACTTTAATTGTTATCCCAATTTCTCAGTAGGATTATTTGATCCAAATATTTTAGATACTTTAGTTTTAACAATCAAGGCAAAAAATTTAGAATTTTCAGGAAGTACTCAGGCTGCTGCAGCTATATATCGAGTATGTTATAAAACTATGTCTACAACAATYGAACCAAAAACTAAATTATCAAGTCCTGGTATCAGAGCAGTTCCCCAACAACTTGATCCAACAACTAATTTAGGATATAATAAAAAATTAGTTAATGAGTTAGAACAAAAATTAAATGGATTTAAAATTAATACAATTGATCAAAATACTGATAGCTCTTCAGAATCAGATGAAGGTTGCGATCAAGTTACCCATTTTCAAGATCAATTTTCAAACAAAATAAATAAAATCAAATTTAAAGGTGCTGTTTCGACGAACAGACCAAATACTTTTAATTATTATCCAAGACCAACTCTTCAAGATGTTCAATATGAAGATAGAGAATTCTCTATGAGTCGTAGTCAATACGATGGTACATCCGTATATGAATGGAATATAGACGGATTAACCGAACATCAAATCTTAAATATGATTCAAGAGATAAATATGGCCGCAAATGCATATATATATTAGAAGGGTACTCGTGCAATGCATTGAGACACATTTCGATTTCAATGTTTCGTTTTATTTTTTATCCATGTTGATATAATACGATTTTATGTGCCTTTGAGAAAACGATAATGTTTTTATTTTTGAATAAATTATAAATTTGACAATATCATATAAAATTTACAAAAAATATATTAACATTAGTATCAAATTAACTATTTAAAAGTTCTTATTTTTGTGTATTTTTTATTAAGTCTTCTGTTAGAACTCAATAATTATTATAATTATATTTTAATTTTTTATATTTTAAAATAAGATGTTTATCTTTTATTTGATTATGTTGATCCACAGTTAGCTACACGAATTCAAACACAGAGCTTTAATAAGTTGTACTTATGCACAATTTACTTGTAATTTTAAATTTTAACTAATATGCATCAATAAACAGTACTTCATGCATAAAAAATGGTTTTTAAGAGTTTTTGTCCAATGTTTTATAATATAGTATATATATATATATATATATATATATATATGTATGTATATATATATAGAGAGAGAGTTTGTTTCAAATGCAATACATCGCATTTGTACAACCAATGCAACCTAATAAATTGAAATATTTATGTAAATGATGAGAGTTCATTTATTATGATTTAAATATTTATGGAAGATGAATAAGATTCATTAATTATGATCAATACTTTATATTATAAAACAATCAAAACATCTATTAAATTACATATTAATCAAATTAAATAGACGGTTGAGATTGAGTTGTATTGGTTGTACAAATGTAAGGGGTTGTATAACAACCCACCCCACACTCTCTCTCTCTCTCTCTCTCTCTCTCTCTATATATATATATATATATATATATATACACTATCTTATAAAGCATTTGGCTAAAACTCTTAAAACTCTTAAACTCGTTCATCCCTAAACGATTTCATTCATATCCGATTTCATCCCATATCTGAATTCGTGTAACTAACTGCAGATAAACACAATCAAATACAGGATAAAC